AAGAAATAAAAAGCTCAAATATATTGATATAAAATTGGTAAACAACCAATTTTAGTATTAAGTTAAGGCAAAACTATGAAGATATCACATAAAAGATAACGTCAAAGGTAAAGTATAATTTCATAGTATGAAAGCTATAAGTATTATAACACGGTATTCGAGTAAATCCATTAAAAATGTGATTTCACGCATTCAGTTTCCTCAACGATATGTACCCAGGCAGCCGATTTTGAAACACTGATAGCCACTATCCATCTTTGCGTGTAAAAGCTTATAAATTAAGGCAATATCGAGGCATACGCACAATACGCACATATGCGAAAAACAGACTGATCAATTGCAGTTTTAAACCTCAATAGGAAGATACAGGCAAAACAATACCGAGTAACCATTATGATGTAATCAGATGCCCTCAGAAAGCTGAAACAAAAACCGATTTTATCCATAGGTCCCCGTAAGTGTCTACTTACTTCAAATCTATAAACAGACCATAACAACCAATTGATATTAGTCACCACTTTATAACCAATAAACCATTTCATTTATGTATCATGTTTGTAATAACCTGTAAAATAATGCACGATATTGTCTACTATGTAAACTACTCCGTCAGCATCTATAAAGTAGTATTAGAAAAATAATTTTCACCTACATAAAAAACATGATGTTTCCTTTGCATAATCCTGTGCACAGCCAATGTTGATTTGAATAAATAAAATAAAATGTTATTGTATCTGATTTTGCCCATAAAAGTTCCTCTTTAATATTATTTATTCTACTACAAACGTATAATACCATTCAAGTTTTTTATAGCCAATAAATAAGCGTAAATTAATAGATGAATATAAATTTTCAAAATTTTCAGTGCAGCTCTATTTCCACAGATTACATCAAAAGAAGTTTCATTTTATGAAAGTGCATTTTACTGAGTCTCATATATATCATTTTGTGAAACTTGTGCGGTAAGAGGATAATATACCGACGGCCATTATTTAACCAATCAGAATCACGATAACCCCTTGTGTATTTTGTGCGAAATCTAAAGTGTAGTGATAGATAACGTTTATGTTATTATAAACCAAGTAAATATTGACAATCTTTAGTCTTTAAAATGCTCGAAATCAATAAAAATATGTATTACGCAACCAAAGAGTGAACTTAAGATGGTGCTTCAGTCAAAATGTAAAACATAACGCCTCTTAAGTTAGAATGTGTGTTAAAGTACTTGATGTAATTCAATACGTAGTCAAGAGCGCTTCGTGAGGTTAGCTTTTATTTTTCCTTTCTTTTAATTCCATTCTCAAACTTAATAAGTTTATAAGCAGAAGGGTCACAAAGAATGGCATTGTAGCTTATGTCGGTTCGTGATGAAAGCCTTAACTTTAATTTTTAAACCTATCTCAGAATTCCAGCTTAACTCTTAATAACTAAACCTGATCTTTTAGCATTATCTCTGGTGTTAGTTGGCAATGAAAATTCTGCGGATGATAATCCTAATTCACAACACTAGCCCAACTTCTAATCCGCAAATGTTACCATTTTTCTTGTACTCAAAGAATAATTCGACTTGTGGGGGTTGATTGTTAAGATCAAGGTTATTATTTCGCTTCTTCAATATTACTTTCCGCTGTTAATTCTTCTGTAACTAGGCAGCGTTCCCTGATTGACCGTGTGGTCACTGAAGGTCGTCAGTATATCATACTTCCTTTTGTTCTTCACTTTTACATAAGTTTTCTTCTGATCAAACAAATGAGTTTTAATGAATCAATCCGTAGATCTTCTAAATGTAAATCTGTGAATATATTCTTCTACTGCCCATATTATTGCATTTTCATAGTAAATTTATTGTTTTCAATGAAACTACGGTTCCTTGAGTTCTGTTTCTGAAGCTTTTTTTATTGAACGTGAAAAATGAAATCTGATTATAAGGGATTCTGTGAATATAACGAAATTTAACTGTTTAGTTAAATCTCATGGAACTGAATTTCTTCTGATCAATGTACTCTAGGGATGTGAACTGTTGAACCAGTAACCAAATATATAATAAGAAAATAATTATTCATTTCAAATCACTCTTATTATCTGATACTTCAGTCTGAGATACATCATGGAAAAGGATTCGAAATTTTGTTTATGATGTTTATGCCAAATCTTTTGATATCCAACAATTAACAAGTGTTAGATACAATTTTAAGGACAAGTGAGACAAGAGTGGACTAACCAAATACTCTTGAAGCGACACAAATAAATAGCAACTATAGTTTTATTAGGAATGGTCATTAATTTAATTTAAAGCAAAGTGCAATAAGTTCATAAAAATCATCTTAGTCCATGGAAATGTTTTTCTGTCAGTAATCAATCTAATAAAGCTAATCTAGTTTTTAAAACATAGAGTAGGTAATACAACAACTTGAGATTAATGCTTATATATCTAGAATCCAATCTTATTTTGAAAATGGTACATGTAATATCATCAACCTACAAATCAGTTGCTGTAAAATGTATTGCAAAATGAGTGAACTGCAAACCATTTTCATTACCATAATTGCAAGTTTATACCTTGATTGAAAATAACAACATCATAATTAGACAATATTTTAATGAGACTGGAAACATAACATCCACGTTCTTTAAATATTAAGTGAAGACTGAAGTTTTCTTTATTCCTTAAGTCATCTTTTGAAAAATATATATAATCTATGGATCTGAGTTTTATTAAAACAATATACGTTCATTATTAGAGAAGCTTGTAGGACTACCTACTATTTACAAAACAAATAAATGGTCTTATTTTCACTTTCTTGAAAAAATTACCTATAGAATCCATGTTGTATTCTTCCTCTTTAGCTGTAGTCAATGTAAAGAGAGCGTTTAGCTTATACATGAATTTCATTGATTCTGTTATAGATAATTTTTGGTATTTCTTATTTTTCAGTGACGTTTTATTAGTTTTTCAACATTTTACAAAGCTCAGGGTTTAATTCATAAAGATGGTCCTAATAAACTGGAAACAATGGAGTTGATACCCTGTAGTGGTAAATAAATCCCCAAAATAAATAGCTCTGTAAGTTTTCGACATTGGATGGTGACCACATTAGTTTTAGTGGACTCACCTAGCTGAAGGCGCTCGGTCATGCATCCGCTCCAGATCACGAGTGGGAACGCCGTGCTCAGCAACCCCTGCAATCGCTAGCCAGATTAGATCAGACGATCATCGATATATTGATAGCCTATCAAATATATATTCGAACGTCCTCGCTTTTGTCTTTTGATCTCACTTGGTGGGTACGCTTCATATTAGAAGGTGTTACTGGTTAAAGCGTTGTCAAACTCCAAATACCTGTGACATTTTCAACCCACATGTTTCCCAACCAAGTACTAAATTTTAACAACTTTGAGAAGCAAATGAACATTTCCACCTCGGGCTTGGAAGATATCTTTACTTTGTTTCTATTTAGACTATACACCTTTCATTGT